CTCCAATTCATCCCACATTTATTCAACACACCGCCAAAAGAAATAATAAAAGGGATTTTAAAAACGACCATGAAGGAATGAGGAGAGTAGTGGAAGAGGAGAACCCAATTACCTCGCCAGTGATCAGGAGCTGTCTCAAGCAAGTAGACTGCACCGAGGGGGAAGAACTCTACGACTACACGCAATGACCAAGACGTCGAATAGGTCTAATGTTCGACAGACAGAAGATTTCGAGTTCCTTTACGCACAAATTATTGCGCATAAAGGCCCACCGACATCACTCAAAAGTTGACAACTTAATGACTTCTAGACAATGACGAAGACGTCTACAACAATGCCCAAGCTTTAGCCATCCACAAAGCCCAAAACCAAAATCAAACTCGCCAGTTGGAAGGAAGACCTACAGCCTCGCCAATTCTTTCAGTTCAGGAACAGAGAGGATAAATAATAGGTCTCCCCTATAAGACCAACAGCACAGCAGAAGGCTGATCACAGTGACGCAAAACAGAAGCACTGCCATCAACACTTTTCTTGCCATTTCGACATCGACTTCTGCAGCATGGACGATGTGAGGTGTGGGAACTGGAAAAGGGATCCCTTACAACGCGAAGGATTGAAAAAAAAAAGTACGAAACAAAGAATAACGTCGCAGTTGATACTCATCCTTACAAAAGAAGGCGCCAAGGAGGGCGTATGACATCTACTTTAAGCACGATCCTCCGAAATTGAGGTGCAATCGTGTCGACACAAAGCCCTGCTAGCAGTTCAAGTTGTGCCCTCAAGATCTTCGGAATACAGAAACAATTGCTCGCTGTCAATTAACTACTGGTGGGATTGCACAACACCCCTAGGAGGGCATGACTACTGTCAACAGAATTTCACTAACCTCAGAGCTACTTAAAACAGCCTGCAAACTACGAAGTCATTCTGATACTGCTACTCGCAGCAGATCAACTAGGGAAGAAGATTACAAATATAAAGCATCGCACCAATTGAAGGTTTTGCAATTCACAGAAAGAAGGCTCAAAGAGGACCGAGACATTAGCTCCAATCTACAGCATGCGAAGCCATATGGCGCGCCAAGATCAGAACAAAGGCGAACATCCCCTTTTGACCACTACATAAGACGGCTGTGCCGATGATGGTTGGACTTTGGAAGGGAAAACAAAACAAACAGCAGAAATCATTGGACTACAGACATAAGGTCTCTAGATGGCTTAATAATAGTCAAGAGAAGGATAGAGACGAAACGTACGACTACCGTTAGAATCAGTGCCCAAAAGCCCCTCCACACAGAGTCCCGCCTCAACGGACTGCACCGATGTCGAGGTGGATGAGGATGATGGTAGAGGGGGTTTAATTTTCACCTCTGGAGGACCACCACTGCCGCGAAAGTCTTCCAGGAGGAAGGACGACGATGCTGACGCTGAAGATGACGCCTGAGTTGGAGAGATAAGGAGAGCAGCGGTG